GAAAACTGCAACCCCCCCCCCCCCCCCCCCGGCATCTGCCCTCTGCTCCAGCATTGCTCCTCCCCAGCCTGATCCCACAGTGCAACCCCTGCCCCCACATCCTGCTTCACTGCTTCCTCTCTCTGCCCTCCCCCCCACACACATCCCTGTGCCCCCAGTGCACTCACTGGCATGCCAGCAGTCCTGGGGTGGGGAGAAGCAGGGGTGGGGGCAGTCTCCTCCCTGCCAGGCCCAGTCATTTGCCTGCAGCTCCGGATCTAGGGGGGCCCAGGGCCCACAGTGCAACCCCTGCCCCCACATCCTGCTTCACTGCTTCCTCTCTCTGCCCTCCCCCCCACACACATCCCTGTGCCCCCAGTGCACTCACTGGCATGCCAGCAGTCCTGGGGTGGGGAGAAGCAGGGGTGGGGGCAGTCTCCTCCCTGCCAGGCCCAGTCATTTGCCTGCAGCTCCGGATCTAGGGGGGCCCAGGGCTGTCTCCAGTCAGCCGGGACACAGTGGGGCACTGGGGAACAGCAAGGCACACCCAACATCCTGGCAGGTCATGTGTAACTGGCCACCCCCTCCTGAAGCAGAGCCTGTAGTGGGGGAGGGGGTGTTACCCCCTTAGCTCCCAGGAGCTGCATGCACCCAAGCTGAACAAGGACAGCCCCAGGGACACACATCCCCCCCCCCCCCCCGCTCCACTCTGCAGTTGGGGGGGAGAGGTAGGAGTAGGGCTGAGCTCCCACCCTACATGCCAGTGAAAATTGGCTCAGCCCACGAGCCAGGGGTTGCTAACTTGTGCTATATATGTGCTATCAGTGCGTGTCTGTCCAAGAACTCCTAAACAGTAAGAGCTAGAGCCAACACATTTACTATAGAGTTTCCTCTTACAAGTTAAAGCAAAGTATGCACATGAACCAGCCAAGCGACATGCATCCCTCCCCCAGCTTGCCTGCTAGAACTGCAGTGGCTACAGGGAGGTGCACCTCACCTGACCCCCAAAGCTGCATGTGGTGAGAGAAGACTGGGGTAGCCTTCATACTGAACCTCTCAGTCGCAGCTCCAGCCCAGTGCAATGATTCAAATGAAGCACATACTTTTTCATTTTATTTTCTAAAAACCCAAAGAAGTGAGTTACGGGCCTGAGCAATGCCATGTACATTTTCTAGTACTGACCTAAAAATGCAGTTTTGCTCAGCCAAGAAGCAAACTCTCACAGCACAAAACAAATAGTTTAATAAAATGAGTTATTGTTTAGGCATAAAATAACTATAAACATGAAAGCACTAGAAAACATTTACATTTAATTTGGAATCTGTGTAAAGTAAACCCCTGACAAGTTTGCTAAATATCAGATATTTCAATGGCTTTCTTGGTTTGTCATCTCACACCGTAACATAGGAGAACTGTGAAAACAGCACTGACGTGTATTCTAGGGTTAATAACAAGTACAGCTTACCTAAAATCCATTAACATTAAGCAAAATGTTTGTACAATAAATGAATTAAGATCATACTGTAAATGTTAAATAACCCACAAACTTTATGAATTGATTAATGGACTAAACTTTCATTTTCCACTCTGTACACTTAAAAATCCAAATGGATCGTTACATTATAATCGAACTTATAAAATGAGAATAGAAAAGATTTACTATTATTATATACTTCGTGATCACGTTCTGTAGTTTGTTTTTGAACCTATGGACACTGACATCGCTAAATAAATAATATTACATTAGAATAAAAAGAACATGGGTGATTCCTGTATTCTGCATTATCCATGCATTCATATGTATTTAAATCATGTGCATGTTGTACCACCTTTCTGTTTTCTCAAACTTTAGTAAGTGTGATAAACAGGGCTCAACGAACTGCGGCGAGATCTACTTGCCAGCCCCACACCGCGCATGCGCCAAACCAGTACTGCACATGCGCACAGTGCCGGTGAACAGGGCAACCGGCTGAAATCTTCTCGCCACGGGCAAGTAGATATAGCAATTTGTCGAGCCCTGGTGATAAAACATTTCAGTTTATTAAAAAAAAAAAAAAATCAGAAATTTTACGAGAGAGAGAACACAAAAGCCTTATCACTGAAAAAGGAGGACATGGTGACTCTCACAAAGCCAATATAAAAAATTGTTTTTCTGGCGACAAATTTAACCAAAAGATGCACATGAAATAAATAAAGTCAAATTATGTAAGTAGTTCTTGCACTCCCACAGGAAAACTCAATTTGGGCTAAATATGTTAAATGTATAGGGGAAACAACAAAGAATTGATACATCTACAGTAAAAAAAAATAGATTGGATTACAAAATAGTGATCATGTACAAAACAACAGAAAAGTGGTAAGGAGACAAAATATATCCAAGTCTGCAACCTTCTAAGGGAATTTTAAATATGTTTTTCTGTTGGGAGCATAACCAAAATTGTTTAAAATTAAGAAAAAAATTAATAGAAAGCCTTTTGTAACAGTTTTAATTAGATAATTGAATAATTTGCCTAAGGATGCAAGCGACTAGTCGACTAACTGATAAACTAAGTCTATCAGACAGTCGACTAGTGATGCGACTACTCACTTCCCCCTTGATACCTCTATCAGAGAGAGGCAGCAAGGGGGAGGGAGCAGGGGCTTAAAAGCCATTTTCTCCCAGCACCATCTCCGTGGAAGGCAGGGGAGATAGAGGCACAGCAGGACACGATGCAAGCAGGGACCGAAGCAGTCGCCACTTGCGCCGCTTCTGCTGCTATTCTGCTTTTGAAATAGGCTCTTGTTACATTTCAAAAGCAGAAAGCCCTGCAGGGAGCTGGGGCCAGTGGGGGACTCCCCTGCTAGCCCAGTGTTCTCTGTGGGACTTCCTTTTGAAATGTACAAGAGCCCCAGCAGGTTTCTTGTACATTTCAAAGGCTGAGGCGCTGCAGGGAGCGCAGGGCCAGTGGGAGTCCCTTGCAGGTCTAGTGCTTCCTGCAGGGCTTCCTTTTTTTAACCTACTTCCAGTAAGGCTCTTGCTACAGTTCAAAGGCACAGGTGCCCTTATAGACTAATCGAATAGTTGATGGAAATCACATCGACTATTCGATTAATCTAAATTTAATATCCCTAAACCTCCCAAAACAAGAACAAAATTGCCTATACTGAAGATATTCAAGGCAAAATTAGATTGAGGACTCTGAAAGAATGTACATTTTTAAGTGAAAGTTGACTAAATACTAAGAGCCTATGTAGATCATTTTCTTTAATGTCCATCTGGAAAGGAGAGACAAGAACTGTCACAGATATAATGGAGCACCCTTAGGTATTGATCCATGGTTCAATATTTTTTGTGAATTGGACAGCGAGACACATTTGGGGTGTGACCTTGCTCCTCTTGAAGTCAATGGGAATTCTGATACTGACCTCAAGAGTACTCTTTTTTGACTTTATCTAGAATATTTTAATTCTGATCCTCATTTGTTTTGTGTTCAATCAGAACAGAAAAGCAGCCCTCTGAAAGACCAATGTAAGTCACCATGCTAAGTTTCATCCTTTTCTAATTTTGAACAGGAACTTGACATTTACAACTCTTCTAAAAACATGCTTCTGATTAAATCTAGTGTACAGTCAACCTTAGCATGGGAGCAGTTTCAGTTTCATTTCAGTGGGGTTTGTAATTAGACAGAAGTTCACCACTTTGTATTCGGTGTTTTTAAAAAATGAAATCTCTATTTTTAAAGTGACTGTTCAAAAATACTGGCGAACACATCTTTGGCCAGCACGTGTGTGAAAAATATAACATGGTAATAAACAGAGTCTTGCATGTTCTGATTATTTGATTCTATCCAAGTTTTCCTTAATTATGAGCCCTTGTTGAGTTATGTGGGTGATATTCAGCATAACTGTTCTCCTAGAATGCCTTTTTCCTTTTTCCATAAGTTAGCAACTATATAGCTCCTCTTCTGAGTGAAGACTTCTAAATGCAAAAAATGTAGCACCACCACCAAGAGTAATTTAGCTTAATTTCTTTACAATCTGATACATTCTCTCAGAAATGTGAGGATTCCTAGCAATCTTGGAGCTCACATGTACCCCTGATTTTTTTAAAACTCTGTTCTTATTTCAATACTATAGTACACTTATTCAGACTTACACTGCAATATTTTAATCAAAGTATCAAACCAATTTGTCTTTATCAAATTCCTTTGCAATCATTAAGGCAGTGCTGTTGAGGGAAACGGACTGCATATTACAAATAATATTAACAACTACTCCTCTGGGTAGTGTCACTAACCCACTGTATATAACCTCAGAGTTCAACTCTTCAGGAAGAATAAGCAGAACACTGCTTGCACCCACTGCTCCACCAGTATGGGAGATGTAATGTCGCTGCTGTCTGCAAAAGCCATATTCTTGTTGCTTCTCCACAACAACCCAACCCATTGCATATTTGCCATCCTTGTTCCATGATACTTCAGTGTTTGGCACTGGGGTCCACATCATTGTAATCGTGTCTGGTTTGAGATAGCCTGGAAGAAGTTTGTTGGCACTATGTTTAAATTGTCCAACTTGATAACTGTACAGCAAGGCATTTCCAAATTTCAGGAGGTCACCTACTGAAGAAAGCAAGCCGCCACCAGCCCATTTGTAGGAATTGTCCACGTAGGGTGCATTTATTAGCCGTCCTTTTTTGTTGCAAACATAACATCTAGAATCAAAATAAGAAAGTTTTAGTTGTCACTCATACATTTAATGGAAATATTCATCCTTTTAATTGATAGGTTAAAATAAAAGCAAACTAGTGACAAGACACACTCAACACACTCTGCAATTTAGTCCAATACTAACACCAGGAGTTATAAATGCCATGTACTAGGTACTAGTTTAACACTGGATTTCTGGTGCTGTGGAATTTACAGCGATTAAAAACAGCTTGAGAATTCAGGATACAAAAAATATGCCAAAGCTTACTCATCTTTCACAAGCACAGAAAACCCTACAGGCAGCAGACCATAGTTCTGCAGCCGCAATAGAAAGCAATAGAGGAGTTACGCAGTACGATTCTGTAGGAGATTGGTTATGGGAGGGATAAAGGATTTGGTTTGGAATTCCATGGCCACTAGATGGCAAAATAGATATTTATGTACACAAAGGCAGTAAACATGCAGCCATGGTAAATACTGCTAAAAATGGATCTCAAGACTCTTGCTCTGATAACCTGACCCAGTGAGTGCTATTTGTCCCCAAGAGCATGTGTTTCATACCGCCCATTTCTGTTAACTACTAAACTTTGTTCGACACCAGCATGCTCCATACACTGCACACTCACGTTAGCAATGCACTTTAAAAAATGACTAAAACCTGAGTTCCAATCATCTTCAGGCTCTGAAATCCACAAAAGCAAGTTACACCGAATATGGCTGACTCCTTTCTTCTGACCAAATGTAACAGGTAGAAATGTGTCATGGACCTGCCTGAACCTGGGCTGTCCTACAAAGTGAGCACGCATAATTTCAATAGTCCAGTTAATATTGGAGTCATGATGGCCTGAGCCTCTCATGCCACAAATTCAAATCAAAAGCCCCATACTGACTTAAAAGACAAAAGTGGTCACAATTAGCCCTGACAAAGGCTGGCTTTGTGCACTAACACAGAGTGAAGAGCCTTCCTGCTCCACCCAGAATTGCCATCTCTTAGCAGGGAGCCTTTACCATCTGGCCTGCTGATTCCTGATTGGCCTTTGCTTACTCCCAGCCCTCTAGGACATCATCTTATTGGTTCTCCAGTATCTTGGAGACCCTTCTGAACAATTGGCAACCCCAACTCCTTGTCCTTTTCATAAAGGGCCACTTCTTCGTGCAGCTTGTACCAAGGCAGTGAGGACTCTCGCAGCAAATGCCTGATACTCCTACTGTAGTGAAGGAGTAGGAGGAGTAGGAGTAACGGTAGTTCGGACTAGGAAGCCTAGTCCAAACTACCTAGTCCGTGCCGCGTGTAGCCGCATGGCACGGAGTCCGCACTAGTGGACATTTAAAAATGGCGGCGCCCGGCTTTATGCAAATGAAGCCCGGGAAATTCAAATCCCGGGCTTCATTTGCAACTCCGGTTGCCTACATTACCACCCTAGTTCGAACTAGGGTGGTAGTGTAGACATACCCTTATAGATTTAAAGAATCTCCTGAACAGCATCAGTGCGAGTTAGTCAGCAGCAAACAAAAGAAGTTGCAGCAGGTATTCAGCCCCAGAGGAGGACGAGACTCCTTGATGCAGTTTTTACTTTAGACATGCTCTTTCCTGCATCCACCCTCTGCCCCCATTCTTCCCTCACAATTTCTAGATTTGACACCTTCCACCTGCCTTCTATGCTCCTGACCCTTTCCATCAATCTTCCCCTTCCTTTTTTTAATTTCCATTTACTGCATGTCCTAACAAACCCCTAACTAAACATTTAAAGAAACCCGATTCCTTTAGTGCCCGCCCCCTCAACAAACATGGAACTAATAATACGATATATGAAAACCATCCCTGTTCACCAGTACTTTATCTCTCTAATGCTTTTTTCAGTCTTGTCTGTAACGCACAGGAATCCTCTCTCTAGGCATGTGGAATGAGTGCCTAGCAAAACTGTTCTCAGTTAGCCTCTAAGTCCTACTTCAGTACAAACACATTCAAACCTAGAACTTAAAACAAAGTTTAGTACATACTGTAAAAGCCAAGATATCATGGAAGCAACAGGAGATCTTGGAAATAAGCCTTGTGACTAAATGTTACTCTGTTACCCATAGTTTTCAGAACTCAAAGCAGTGGCAACTTAACTGTTTCACTCCAGGTGGCGTCCAAAATAAATCATTGGGAACACAGTGCTTCTGGCTGATTAAACACTAACAGAAGCAAGCATGCTCTTATCTAAAACTATAATTTGTTAGGTTTAAGCACACACAGACATAACAGTAGGTTTAGAATAGGGGTCGGCAAATCTATGGCTTGCGAGTCAAATATGGCTCAGGATAGCACCATCCCTGCTGCCTTCTGTGCTGGAGCCAGAGCCGGGCCATGGTGTGAATATCCCTACTGGGACAGCTGCATTGCGGCCCCAGTTCCAGCTCCGGTGGCCGCCATGTGGCCCAGCAGAGCTGTACAGCGGGCAAGGGCAGAGTTTCAAGAGAGCAGGGGAAACAGCAGACGTATGCACCAGGACATGGCTTGCTTTTCTTCCCGTTCCCCTGACAATAAGGGAGAGAGGGGAAAGCACTTGGATTCTGTGATTTATACCTCTGCCCCCTCCCTTCACCAGCCAGGAGTGAGAGGCATGCACAGAATCCAATCCAGATGAGCTCTAGTGTAAAAAAAAAAGGGGGGGGAGGGGGGTATTTGTTATCATCCAGGAGTATTAAGTTGGATAAAAAAAGCAAAATCAGAAAGTTCACTTTTTTTTTTTTTTTTTACACTCAAGCTCATCTGAAGAAGTAGGTTTGGCCCACGAAAGATTATGATACCATATATTTGTGTTAGTCTCCTCGCTCCAAGGGGCCACAGGACTACTCGTTGTTTTTGAAGTTACAGCCTAACAGGGCTACCCCTCAGACTCTTCTCTACAATGGTGATAATACTTGTCTATCAGGACGTTTTGCAAGATTTACTTCCATGCTATTGAATTAGATCATAAATATAATGAATTAAGCCACAGGGTGGCAGTGTCTTTTAGCCTGAGAGATATCACCCTACTTCATAGTTTTGCTTTCAACCATGATTTCAACATGGAAACTTGAATTTTGTCTAGCATCAAAATATCCCGAGACAAACCAAATTTACAATTAAATTTCTCCTCTCCGCGATGGTATTTTTTTTTTTTTAACTTTTCATAAGGTGAAAAGGAGTTTAAAACTCTGGGCACTCATGATACAGTTTACAAAAACATTAATTAGCTGCTAATTCCACAACAGCGTAACAATTCAACTCCATGTAAAGTAGAGATGTAAAAAACATGTAAAATAGTTAACCAGTTAGACGATTTGTATTACATCCCAGGATACTGCATCTTTAAAAAATGTTAGAGGGGGAATTTTTCTCTCCAGACTCTAAAAAATCATTTTTAACAGTTCCCTGGAATTCAGATGAGTCCTCCCCAGATTTGGATGTTTCAGCTGCAGAACTATTCAACTAGACCATTTAAAAAAGAAAATTTCCCCAAATTATTTTTGACACAGAGCTTTTTATCAGGTCTGTGAAGGACACTCAGGCCTGGTCTACACTACAGAGTTAGGTCAATACAAGGCAGCTTACACTGACTGAAGTGTCTACACTAGAATATTGCTCTGACCGCTGTATCTCGCCTGCTATGCCAACTCAATAGCTCCTCCTCTGCAGGAGTAGCTGCTTTTCAGCTGACATAATTAGGGTGATAGAAATGTTGCCGTGTTAGTCTGGCATAGCTGAAACGAAAAACAGGACTATGTAGCACTTTAAAGACTAACAAGATGGTTTATTAGGTGATGAGCTTTCGTGGGCCAGACCCACTTCCTCAGATCAAATAGTGGAAGAAAATTGTCACAACCATATATACCAAAGGATACAATTAAAAAAAAACCCATATGAAAAGGACAAATCAAATTTCAGAACAGAAGCGGGATAGGGGGAGGAGGTAAATGTCTGTGAGCTAATGATATTAGACGTGATAACTGGGGAAGCTATCTTTGTAATGGGTAAGGTAATTAGAATCTTTATTCAAACTTAAGTGTAAAGTGTCAAATTTGAGCATGAATGACAGTTCAGAGGATCCTCTTTCAAGTGTATTCTTAAAAGGCCTTTGAAGTAGTATGCAGGTAATCAAGTCCTTGAGACAATGTCCTTTCTGGTTGAAATGGCAAGAAACTGTTTTTTCTTTGTGACCCTGTCTAATATCCGTTTTGTGGGCATTGATCCTTTGGCGAAGTGTCTGAGACGTTTGTCCAATGTACATAGCAGACGGACACTTTCGGCACATGATAGCATAAATTATATTTCTGGATGCGCAGGCGGGAGGGAGAGGGAAGGTGGGGGGGAGGGGGGAGAGAATTGGCCAGCGGGGAGCGGGACAGTTCAGGGCATACGCAGGTCCTTAATAAAAATGTAAAAGCAGTGCCTTTTAAATATCCCCACTGCTGATAGTGAGGTGTAAAGGCACTACAATGTGTCAGAATGGAGAGAACCTGGTGCATTCACCATCCGGAATGAGAATATGGATAAAAGATTCCAAAGATGGTGTTGGCTTTCTGAAAATAAATGAGCCCCTTTTCAATACACGATGTGGCGGTGCAGGGTTTTATTGGATTACAGTCCATTTTTCCAATCCAGATTCCCTTAACTAGCTGGTAAGAATGGTGTGGGTGGCCGTATCAAAAGCTTCGCTAAAGCTGGCCCTAGGGGCTTTGGGAGGACCAAAACCAACATATTTGTATATTTGTCATTTGCTTAATGAATATGCAAATGTATGTTACCGGTCCTCCGAAAGCTCGTGAATGGATTTACTGGTGTCCATGTCAAAAAGTTTGGGAACCCCTGCTTTAGACTATAGTCAGACTGGTACTGGTAAGATGTAAAATTTACATAGCAGTGAAATTACCAGGGCTGGAAAAGAAAAGATGGTTGGCTTGCATTCATTATTCCCCACCGTACACATATGCACACACTTACCTTATGTTTTGTCAGCTCATACTAAAGTCTCATCACTGGCAGCCCAAAAATATATTAAAAGCAAGGGCCTCATCTTGCCAGATGCTAACCAAACCATTGTCCTCAAAGTGCTCAGATGGAGCTGCAGCATGCTCAGCAACTGGCAAAATCAGCCCATTCTGACTACATTCATGATAGCAATGTTTTACATTTTTTTTAAATGGATGTCTGAAGCAGTAACACCAACATGCCAGTCTGCTCATACACATTTGAATTAAGGATGTAACAAACTTTCCTATATCTTCAACCTGAATTACTTACCTTTTCCCAGAATACTATTTCCATTGCTTTAGAGTTAACAAAAAACTTAACATAGAAAACCATTCTTCATTAAGAACACAAATTTTTTTTTCCAACACAGGAAATCTGAAAGCTGCATATCAAACTCAGATCCCCTTGAGATTTTTCCATAATCTGCTTATGCGATTCATTGAGAATCCTGTCCCTGTGCCAAAACTTAACAGCTGAGTCAACAAACTTTAAGTTCAGTGGTTGGAGGTGATTTTTTGGCTATGTAACTCAGTAAAAGACAACTGGTGAGGGAAACAGCAAGAACGACTAAACCATTAAACACAAACTCAGACACAAATTACTCCTTCAAGTTCTTAAAAGCTGCCAAATGGCAAGCTATTAACTTAGTGTTTCTCAAAGTGTGGTCTGCGACTATCTTGCAGGTGGGCTGTGGGTTTGGGGCTCACCCCCCTATAGTGGGGAGCTTGCATTGGTGCTCCAGGCCCCCACCCTCTGTGAAATTGGAGCACTAGCAGGCAGAACCACTTCCTACTCTGGGGAAGAGGGTGAGCATTGTGGGCCAGATTTAGCTTGCAGGGGGAAGGAAATGGCTCCGCTCACTGCCACTCCCCCCAGCTGGGGGAACAGCAGTGCAGGAAACCACTCGCCTGAAGGCTTTTCCCCCTGCTCCCATTGGCCGGCAGTGCCTGGGAGCAGCAGGAGGCATAGAGACAGGTAAACACCCTGCACCCCCATCTCCCTCACACACACCACCTCCTACCAAGACCCCACCTGACTCCTGCACCCTCCTTCCCAGTCCAGCCCATCCTCAGCACACTCCTGCAACCAACTTCCTGGTCAGACCCCACCCGCTGCACACTCCTACACCCAAGCAACCTGCCACCCAGACCCCCCACCCTACCCTCAGCCTGCTCCTTCACCATACCTTCCAGTCAGAGCTCACACCTCCACCCCATCCTGCACCCATATTATCACCATAGGTGGTTGGCTGGTGGTCTGTGGAAAGGTTCCTGGGGAAGCCTGTGTTGGCTTTCCAGCCGCTCCCAGGAGGGGCCGGGGGGGGGGGGGGGGTCAGGGGAGTGGAGGACTGGAACCCACAACCCAGCGCTCCTCAGGCAAATGCCCTAAGTTTGAGAACCACTGTATTAATAATATCTATATCTAAAAGAACCATTTAAGTGTCCTTGTGCTGTCACTGGCATTTAAATAATCTAATTTATAAATAACTGTGGAACACTATAGAAAGATTACATTATTACTGTTCCATGAAACAATTTGGAGGTAATTTTACAATTGTGGTAATTGTAGTGTCTACATACTTTACAATCCCCTCGTCCCCTTTTTTCAAGTTTAAGCAATATGCAATCGAATAATTTGGAAACTCAAACGCTATACTGTAAATCCATAGTATTTTATGAACTATATTGGAGTTGAGAATAGAAGGAAATTTCAAGTTATTTTCACTCTAACTGCTGTTCAGTTTCTATGAACACTTTCTCATCAACGCATACAACTGAAGTCAGATAAAGAACTTGAAATCATTCTTTAATATACGTAGAATGTATACAGATTAAAGAAGACTACAAATAAATGAAAAAAGAAGAGAATCAAGTCATCTGCTAATGCACAATTTTGGAGAGCAATTAAAATTAACAATTAAATAAACTGATGCAAATGTCTTCACTATAACAAAGTTGTATTATTTCTACTCTTATAGAAATAGTTGTAGCAATTTTGGGGGTCATTATATCCTTACTTTTCCTTCATTTCCTTACTCTTTTATATGCAACTGACCTAAACAAATCTCTCCCTTCTTAAAATATGTGTTCTCACACTTGTTTCCTATTGTTATCAATCCTTAAACATTAGGGATTAAAAATAAATGTGAACTCAAGGAATCAATGTAATACCATTATTCCAGCCATTTGATAAAGAATATTTTTACAAATCATTTAATCTTTAAATTAGCTTTTAAAACAAAAATCAACTAATGCTTACCTGTACAGTGAAGAATTTAAGCAAGCAGCAGTCAATATAAGATTTTAGTGCATAATTTCATTCTCATTTACCTTGCTCTATTGTATATCATCGATTCATTGTCATCCAAGACAGTTGCCAACATATCCAAGTCACGAAACATTTTCAGCATGTAGTCTGTAAATTTACATCCTGACGCTCTCTCCACCACAGCACTCAGAAGGGTAAAGCCATAAGTTGAATACAAAAACTGGCTTCCTTGGGGAAGAGAGGGGGGGGGGAAAGGAAGGGGAGAAAAAGAGTTTATTTGCATAGTGCTTGAATGAAAAGTTTAATGTTTCCTTCTGCAATCTTTTCCTATGAAGTTTACTATTCAACAAATACAGTTTTACACAGGGATCAGTGTGTAACTGTGTCAGAATACATTTATTCTTCACAGTGTAATCAGACACATAAAGGGTTAAAGATTATGATGCTCTTTTCTATATTATCTGTACATAGAAATAGAGCATCAGCCAAACTCTACTCATGTGATTAGGAAGACTTGGTTTTATTTTGTTCTTTTTCATAGTTACTATTCATTGTCACCAAAAGACAAATTAATAAATAAGATTTAAATATGTAAATATGATGGATAAAATTTTAAGGGTGAAAAGAAAGTAAATGCAACTAAAATCCATGCCCAGCAAGGAAGAGAATTTACTGCATATTAAAATTAAAAAAAAACAACCACCCAGAATATAACCATAGGAATTGTACAGTGGATCAGAGAGAGCTGCTCCAGAGGGCTCTTAGTGCTGCCTGGAAAGGTAGGGGCACCACACAGCGTGCTCCGTGCTGTGAATGGTTAACTGGTAGGGGCTGGAACAGCTCCCCCCCTGCCACAGGCAAGGGGCTACTCCAGCCTCACGGGGCCCATCACAGGCAGGGGATGCTCCGCCCCCACCCCTGCCAACCCTGCTTCAAATGGTTAACCAGCCAAATATAATGTCCAACTGGTTAACAAATTAAATGGGATTTTACATCCCTATTAGAGATTGACTGAATCCTGAAAGCATGAGGTTTAATAACTTTTCCACAAGATTAATAACAGCTCTGGATAGTTTTATTATTCATATAAAAAGCAAAATTAAAAAATAACTAGAAATGTTCTTGGCCTCAAGAACTGTAGAAATGAATTCCACAATTTAGTTACATGTTGTAGGGATGTAAAATTCCATTTAATTAGTTAACCGGTTAAACGTTAAGTTTATCTGATTAACTGATTAAACTGGGATGAGCGGGGCGAGAGCAGTAGGAGGGGGCGCCGCTCCAGCCTGCTTCGGGCCTTGTGCGGGACTGATGCATGGGAGCTGGAACTTGTGGCAGGCCACAGGCAGGGGGCTGCTCCCAAGGTTCCAGTTAACTGTTAACCAGTATGCACCACTCATTAAGGGTGATGCTCTCTGGTTAACTGGTTATCCATTAACATCTCTAATACACTGTGTGAAAAAATATTTCCTTCCATCCGTTTAGAATTTCCCACTATTTCAGTATAAATTCAATGACCCCTTTTCTTATGTTATGAAACGGGAAAATGTTCTCAATCTACCCTCCCTATTTTGTTTTCTATTGTGTATACTTATGTTCCCTATTTATCTCCTTACAAAAATAAACAATCCGAATCTTTTCACGTTTGCTTTAATATTAAGAGTTTTACCACACCCTTAATCATTCTTAGTGCTCTTCCCTGAACTCTTCTAGTTCTGCAATATCCTTTTTTTGGGGGGTGAGGGATAACCACCTCTGCACACAATACTCAGATACTCACAGTACCTTACCATGCCACTGACTGCAATCTATAATGATGCCAGGTCCCTTTCTTAAATTGAAAGTTAATTCAGAACCATATAGATTGTAGGAGTAGTTTAATTTTCTCACTCCAATGGGCATTACCATGCATTTAACAGCACTGAATTTTAGTTGCCCTCATGTTGCCTGTTCACCTAGCTTATTTATCCACAAAAAAAATCTAGTAGAAATTTGTGAAGCACACCTTGTTTTCTGTTTCCTAACCAGTTCTTGGTCCAATGATTTACACAGCTTATTTGAGTCCTTAAGTACCGTAACAAATTTATGCTGTTGCAGGGGGAAAAAATAGGCAAGAGTCTCAAAGAAAACTTCAGTTAAATAAAGATGATTTTACAAGGTCTTCATGGTAAAATTCAATAAAAGGCCACGTGCGTGTTACAGTGATACAGTTAATCCATTTATGATATACCTTAACTTTTGTAATCTGACAGGCAAATTTTGCAGCACATGTTGCATTACATGGAACTATTTTGAAAGAATACGCTTGAATTTATTGCTACCTACTCTCTAGAACTCTTTTTTGTATACACAGTTTTTCCTATCTATTTATATCAATTTACAAACTGATAGTTAAGTCTATGCAGCTCCTAGTGTGGAGGCAGTTACACTAATAGAAGGTATGCTTATATTGACTATAGTTTATTTTTGAAACTATGAAAAATAAGCTACAAAGAGATAAGATCCTTTATGGCAATATAACTGCATCCATAATAAATGATTGCATCAACGTAGCTATATTCAGTTAGTTTTCTCTTTTTTAATCCATTGCAGGGCATATTTAAAGTGACCAGATAGTTAGAACATGGCTTAAACGCTTCCTTGTGAAGCTCTCATTGAGCAACAGGAAAAAAATCCATCTCTTGGTTTAGTCACAGTAAAGTCCCAATTTCACGTAATGTATCAGACAAACAACAAATCTTAAGAACGTAACACTTAAAGAAAAAAAAATTAATTTTTGATCAATAGAAACTCACCGGGCTTAAAGAATAAAGGATCATTTTTAAATACTTTCAGTGAATCAATCACATTTTCAAATTTTTCTTTCAAATAATACTCTTCGTGTTCAAATTCCTTTGTTTTCTTGACAGGTTTTAATTTTTGGCCTTTAGCTTCATCATCCTGTTCTGACTTGGTTTTAGGAAAGTCATTTTTTTCAGTTCCTTTATCTTCTTTCTCTTTCAGTTCCTTATCTCGGTTAGATTTTTTTACATCTTGCGCTAGTTTAAGGGCTTTGTTAGCCTTTTCCTTCTGTTCCTTTACTTTAGTAATATCTTTCTCATAGTGACGAATTCCACTTAAATGTGAAACTAACAATCTTGTAGTAATGGTGACCTAGTTTAAAAGAAAAATATTATTGTGTATGCCTGCTTAAAGATATTATGCAAACTGAACTTTTATTTCTGTAATTTATATAATTGCTATGTCAAGAAAAAAAAAATTCCTAGCCATTTTTTTAATTGTAAAGTCAGTTAGAAAAAAATATTTAACTATTAGTCTAAAAATTTTTAAATTCCCAACATTCCTTTTTCCATCAGCATGTATTGCTTCCTGCCCCTACTTTTTAAATTATTTGTAGTGTATCATATACACAAAGCTGTGAGCACCCGTAGCAATTAGTTCAGTAGGGAAGATATGGAACAAATGTGAAATCGAGACAACCAAAAATGGTTACAGAACAAACTGACCCTTTACCTTTTCACCTTCATATTCTTTTTCTGGAAACTCCGGAACGTATTTTTGCACTGGAGCATCTAAATCCAGTTTTCCTTCTTCCCACAATTTAGCAACAGCGACCATGGTAAGACATTTGCTAATACTAGCAATTCGCATGACTGTTTCTGGTTTACAGATTACACGGTTCTCTACATCAGCATAACCCAAACCTTTAAGAAGATAAAAAGCAGGTTTACATATAGAAAGAATTCTTTGAGATTTTGCAATGTTCACAAACATAAATTCTGTAGAATACTCCGCATGAGACACATGATAGGTTCTAGGTTCTATTTTCAAAAGTACTCAGTGGCCTCTCTCTGCTCCCACGGACATCAATGACAGTGATTTCAATGGGAGCAGAGTTAGGTCATTGAAGAGTGTTTCTGAAAATACCACCCTATATTACCCCTATATTACCGACCAGCAATAACATAAAACTTAACGCTAATTTAGTTTAGTGAAAAATTAAGCCAAAACTATATCCTAAGGGCATACAAGCTTGTTTCTCTGACCACACAAGTTGGTCCAATAATAGACCGGGTCTCTCTAATATCCTCAGACCAATACAGCTATGGGCAGCTATTAAAACTGTCAATCAGGTTAGCTGACCCCCATTCATAAATCCACATATTAAGTCTTTCAAAGAGCTACTATACATTACTCTTTTCAAAATTCAATATAACTTCCAAGGAGAGAAAATAAGATCAGTTAAAAACAGGAAATTGACAAACTTACAGCATTTAACTCAATTTAAAAGGCTTAACTACGCAGTGGTTTAATAAATTATTTTAATCTCTTTAGATACAGACTTAGAGAGAGATTACATCAGAAATGAAGTAGTCTAAATTCAGTATATTTGTTCTACAAATTATGTCAAATACATGATTAGTTGATAAGGGAAGGTGCTCAGCCCCAGCTCGTGCCCTGCACACCAGACTCCAACTACATTTAGTTGTTTAGTGGGGGTAGCTCCTGGACTCGACACGAAATAGGACTGAGCACTTTCCCTTACCAACTAATCGTGTAGTTGATACAAATTGTACTAACTACACGATTAGCCATTTACCTACTTCTTAACATCCTTAAATCAGACTGCAAGAAAGTAAATTAGGAAGAATTTTTACAGAAGAAAGATTTCATTATTTTCCAAGTTCTTCCCTTCAATCTCATTATTTTAAGATACTACTTTATTTTAAGATAACCCTCCCAGGCCCTGAGAGTGAAGACATGGCAAGAGTCTACCACAACATGCACCCTTTTATGATATTATTGTTACTATTTATTATTTTTACTGCCACAGTACCTAGGAGCACCAATCATAGACCAGTACTCATTTGTGTTAGGTACTGAGAGTTATGCCACTACGCAATATTCTGCAACATCTTCAGGAGGAAAATTCTGCTGAAGCAGTACAGCAGCATCCACTCCTTCTTAGGTCAGCTAGCAACTCTTAACAGTTTCTCTAAACAACACTTCTGCAAAACCGTTTGAATTCAAAAGCATAATCTGAAGAATTTTTTGTGACAAAATTTTCACATGCTCTCTCACACACACACACTCTCTCTCTCTCTTCCTCCCTCCCTCCCTCCCGTGGCAGTGAAAGACACATGAAAATTTTGGAGGATATGCCACACACAGTCATGCTTACAATGCAAAATCTGTTATACAGCCTTGCTAATGAAGCACCACTCAGGGAATCTACTACAGGCAGTCCCCGGGTTACATGGATACGACTTACATCGGATCCCTACTTACAAACGGGGTGAGGCAACCCCGCACTAGCTGCTCCCCCCCAGCAGACCAGGGAGACGCGAAGCTAGCGCCCCCCTCAGCAGACCAGAGAGACGCGGAGCGGCTTTTCTCAGCAGACACCTCATCTTGAGAATAAAGGACTGAGGGAAGTGAGGTGTGGGAGAATAAAACTGAGCTCTGGAGAAATGTTTGGCTAGAGTTTCCCCTACAATATGTACCAGTTCTGACTTACATACAAATTCAACTTAAGAACAAACCTACAGTCCCTATCTTGTACGTAACCCGGGGACTGCCTGTACTGAATTTTTAGCAAAGCACATTACTATTTCTTTCTGTGATAGTCTTTGCCTTAAACAATGATCAACAAGGTTCAAGAAAGACAACTAAGTAGAGTTAACCAAAATCTATAAATAAGAGTTCTGTTCAGACCTATTTGAACCAAGCAAACGGGGAGTCCTCCAGGGAGTCCTACATAACCTGCAAAATAATGTATGTTTATTGAAAGGATTACAGCTGCCAAATCTCAACGTGTTCCCAGTGGCAACCTAAGCACCAGTCCACTAGTTTATGAAATAAGTGAACTGGAACCATTCAAGTTTATTCTGACTATTATGTAGATTCCCAGGGAAAGATGATGTCCAATACATAACAATAAAATAACAGCTGTTTCTCATGAAAAGCCAAACATAACCAATTTTACATCTATAGTTATCAACTATTTTATTTCCACCAGTAGCTGCACAAAGATGATGGGTGGACAGTTGTGTCAGAAAGAGTACCATAGAACACACAGCACAGTGAGGAGAATTTTAAGGGGGATGTATTGCACAATGATTATGAACAGCAAGTATCCACTTAGCTGTAGAACAGAAACAGGTCCAAGGAATTCATTCTCTTTTTTAATTACAATATTCACCCTCTTTCAAGGGTTTGGCTTACTGCCTACTGGGGGGGAAGTTCTCTGTAAAATATTTGCAGAAAGTTTGGGAAAGACTTTATTACGCAAACTCAATTTAAGCCTCATTCAGCCTAAATCAACAGGGTGAGGGCCAAGCTAAATGTGGATTGCTAATTATCACTTATTTCAACTAAACTCATTTAGCATGACTGACAACATTACATTTCCTGGTAATTAAGTTACAATGCAAATTAGACCTATGCAAACAAGATGAAAATACATCATCTCCCTTTTGTAAGTCTCTCATTAAATTCAGGCATTTTGAACCAGGGTACAGCAAGACCTTCTTTTTAAGCTTCATATTGAGGCACGTTTGACTCCACCCACCGTTTAGGAATTTCCTTGTCCTATTTTAGGTCACCATTCCATTGTGCACATACTCTGATGTTGTTAGAGCACAGAACTCATTCCCCTCCCAGGAGCTGTCTTAGCCTTTTCCTCCACACTTGCCAACATGCTTTATAAAAAACTGTCCAAAAGGGTATTTCATTTACAACCACTACTATCACCTACAGAGATACTTTCTTCCCTTTACTTGGACCCTCCCCCATTTTATACATTTTAATGCCAGAGTGACCACTGCTATTTGGTTTTGTCTTTTGTTTTGAGGGCAGATTTTATAAAACTTTTATAATTATGAGGTTAATGGAAGCACTTACCCCAAATTGAAGAACAATAATTACTTAAGATTTGTAACTCAAATGAATGTTAATTTTGAAGAACATGCAGAACAACTGAGTTATATTCCTGTATACCAACCTTCTGACCATACTTCTTTTCCATCTACAGAAACTCCAATTACTATGCCTGGAACTCCGACTTCATCCTGTCACAAACAAACTTCCATTTATTAAAAGGCTCTGTTTGCTCAGAAATCAAACATAACGCTAAACCCCATAAAAGCAGAAACTGTGTTCCCAGTCAGTACTAGGGATGTGAACAGGTAACTGGTTACCTGGATACCTGGTAAGCATCACCCTTAACATGTGATATTTACTAGTTATCAGGTACCCAGGAGCAGCTTACCATGGGCAGGGGGCTACTCCAGTCACGGGGAGTGATCAGGAGCTATACCCCCCACCCCATGAGGGGGAAGCAGTGGCAATAGCAGCCCTAAGCACAGGGAGAGCAACAAACAGAAGGCAGCTCACCTGCACTTAGGGCTGCCAGTTCCTGCTGTTGACACCGGCCCCAAATGGGATCCTACTTAATCAGTCAACTGACTTGATGACCTTCTGAGGTCTCTTCCAGCTCTATGGTTCTATGATTAATTGGGATTTACATCCCAAATAAGTACATAATCTTTGAAATTATTTTGTTTTAATATCAGTTGGGCTGAATTCGTACAATCCCCTTTCAAAAGCTGCAGATCTCTGTTGAGGTGATGGACAACTACAATGAAAGTCCAATGAGCTTAAAGACTAATTTAATATAAATGACACCTACTGCAGACAGGGAACATAACTTCTTTCAAACTACGATGTGACTATCGTATGAGAGTCAACACATTTTAAAAACAAGTAGTCTTGTAGCACCTTAGAGACTAACAAAAACATAGTATTATGAGCTTTGGTGGGTAAGACCCACTTCATCAGATGAGTTGTGGACCTTAGTCTCTATCATGAGGTTTCTTCTGATGAAGTGGGTCTTACCCACCAAAGCTCATAATACTATATATTTTTGTTAGTCTCTAAAGTGCACAGGAATACTTGTTTTTAAAGTTACAGACTAACATGGCTATTCCTCTGAGACTGATCATTTTAGCGTGTCTGGGATGTCCTCATTTAAAATTATAAACACTGAAGCTTCAGTTCCAAATTTTCAGAATGGCAGTCTATTTATATAGTTCACATAGCTCTGTACACACCTCCAGTCCTTCAAATAGTGTACTCAGTACTGAAGATACTTTTACCACTAGCGTATGTCAGTCCTGGACTGCTTTAAGCCCTTTTAAGAGTAGTCCTTTGTGACAGTAAATGACAAAAAGTAAGGAAGAAGTCAGTAATTCAAAGGCACTTTCAAATCCTTCTGACAAACTCTTACATAGTGCAGTGATGATATACAGGGAGAGCCTGATGTGAACAAACCAAATAACACGAGAAGATGCAAAAAGGAAAAGTACAGATACATTCCCTGGATGGGGGAATATTGCACTAGTCATAGCCAGACATGTTAGGGGTGGACTGGCTGGAGCTAATCACCTGCCTCTCCAGTAACTGAGCCATAAGAGAGTAGGCTACACAGAGGAAGGCTACCTGCTTCCCATTTCCAAAGAGTTTAGAGACATACCCGTAGAGCCCTGCAAAGCCACAGACAGCTGCGGCTCACTTTTGCACATGTAGATACTAATTGGCTGTGTCTACACTGGCGCGAGCTTGCGCAAAAGCGGCCACTCTTGCACAAAAACTTGCTGCCTGTCTACACTGGCCGCGTGCTCTTGCGCAAATAAACTGACGTTCTAATGTATGAAATCAGGGCTTCTTGCGCCAGAACTCAGGAATAAGCCCTCTTGCGCAACTGTTCTTAGACTCATAGACCATAAGGTCAGAAGGGACCATTATAATCATCTAGTCTGACCCCCTGCACAGTGCAGGCCACAAAATCTCACCCATCCCTCCTAGAATAATCCTCTCATCTATCTCTCAGATATTGAAGCCTTCAAATACTTTGAAGACCCCCAAGATGCAGAGAATCCTCCAGCTGTGATCTGTACCCCATGCTACAGAGGAAGGCGAAAAACCTCTAGGGGCTGAAAGTGTGACTCTCTTCTTGGGGTAAATCAGACTAGCCTCCAAGGGGACGAAACCAGCAATTTATGCAACAGGGCCTCTGCCAATCTACCCTGGAGGAAAATTCCTTCCCGACCCCAAATATGGCGATCAGCTAAACCCTGAGCATGTGGGCAAGACTCACCAGCCAGATACCCAGAAAGTTCTCTATAGTATCTCCTATCATCCCTCCATTGGCCTATTTCCCACTGATAATGTGTGCAGAGGCCAGTGTAGACGGGCAACATGAATTTCTCGAGCAAGAAAGCCCGATGGCTAAAATGGCCAGCAGAGCTTTCTTGCGCAAGAGAGCGTCTACACTGGCACAGATGCTCTTGCGCAAAAGCACATGCTGGAGTGGGCGCTCTCTTGGGGAAGAGTTTTTGCAGAAGAGCTGTTGCATAAATTGCTGGTTTCGTCCCCTTGGAGGCTAGTCTGATTTACCCCAAGAAGAGAGTCACACTTTCAGGCTGGGTCCAACTCAAGTTTATTGGTTGCAAGCAATGGTCAGCCAAGGAGCTATTGCTCAAAGCAAAGCTGACCCTGAGCGTTGGCTAAGCATCCTTTTTTATACTTTCTTTAACTTTCTTATCTAACTTGGCACATCTTGATTTGTTACCTTAGCTTCGTGTTGCCGCGTTATTGGTTAGCATATTTCAACTCTATTCCATTCAGTAACAACCACCAGTATAGCTTATTAGCAAATCTCCCTAACTCAAGTAATACGTGTACGCCAGTCCTTGAGAAATGGGTCTAAACGGCTAGTTCCCCTTTTACTACAGCTTCTAAAACATGCGCAATTAGCTAAATGATATGTGCTGTTTCAAGCTTAAGTAATGGAAGGGGGAAGAAGCACACATAGTCTTTACTAAATTTTACTACAA